ACATACATATATAGACACATACACACACACAATTCCTACTTTAAAATGAATCTAATAATTTATAAATTCTTGACATTTTAATGCTGACAACCATTTTTACTTGCTTTATAAACTCAGAAGCTTTAAGGTAGTCTTAAGTATGAAGTTAGTACTTTTTTCTAAAATACCAAACTTCCAGGATTATTATAATGAAGATCTTTTGGGTATATTTTGTCAGTGCTTTGAAGGTTTAATAATATATTTTTCTGGGTTTATATTGTGTTTTGTGATAGTTACTACAGTATACTGAATTTTAAAGAAAAAACTGAGAATTTCTTTTATTCTTAATATGTGTATCTGTCAATGTGGTCACAGAATCATCTACCTGTAATTTCATTTTGAACAGGATCCAGTGACTGAATATGTTTTCATAATAATTCTGCCAGACCCACCCATTATATGCATTAAGGAACCTCATAGAAGGACAATAACATTAAAGACCAGGTTTCCAATCTAGCTTCAGCTGCTAGATTTAAATTATGTGAATTATTTTTGAATTATTTGAACTATCTTAGGTTTAGTTTCATATTTGTGAGTTCAATATGATAATATTTACTTCAGAAGCATTTTATGACACTAGGAAATATGCCCTGTGTGAAGGGTTTGGGGTATTGGCTGGCATGGAGCCCTACTCTGAGAGGTATCTCTGTTTTTGTTGTTGACACTCTCTTAATTTTTATGCCTTTTTATTTAATATTTCTTGAATGCCCAAGCCCAGCATCATGTCTATGAATGTAAAAAATGTAGAATCATCATGAATATTTATGATTTTAATATAAAAATTATGGTCAAAGATGAGTTTGTCCACAACCAACTACTTAATATATAGCTGAGGTTTATCTGTTAAGTGCTATATTATGCATTAAAATTTTATATACAATTAACATTAAGGTGACTAGTCCACTTGAAAATGTTGTGGTTATAAACTTACTCTCATCCTTTTTCAAAGGTGATCCTTAAAATTATTCAACTGAATCATCATCTTCCTGAACACTTAAAAAAAAAGTTTCATCTGCAAGCAAGAACTATGTACTTTCACTTATATAATCTCATGTATCTCTTACAATAAATATGGCCAGTGAAAGTTAACAGGGCAACCCATGTTGTCTTACTCTGAAGAAAACAATTTTAGCTGTCAGGACTGAACCATAGTAGATTGATCTCCCTGTAGGACAGAGTGACCTCCTTTCCAGTTGTAATAGTCAAGCACAGGCAGGATTATTGATTGGCCAGGAAGCTGTAGAAGAAACTAAAGTTTAAATGCATGGCTATATGTATATAGGAACTAAATGTGTACACATTTAGTATACAGAGCTCAAAATTATACCTCATACTTGTGTGCTTCTTCATCGCCTCCTCTAATCAGATGCTGAAGGTTTGATCCTTTAGGAAGTTTCTTAACCTCCAAAAACTATAATGCTACAGATCAGATACACTAAACAATATTCAGTTACCTACTTGCTAAGCAGATAATTTGTGATGACTTCTTGAGATGAGTTCTAAATAGTTCTTTAAGGGTAGAAAACATGATGTGCTCTCATTAATGTCTAGGCAGTAGACAGCCTCATAATGAATGGTAACAAATGGATGAGTAAGAGAAAGGAAGACAGCAATATTCTGAATATAGATAAATAAGCAGAAGAAAGGTTTTATCCCACTTGCTAGCATATAATCATTTCTGTTCAATTTGTAAGAAGCTTTGGTTAAAAGAGAAGAATGGTTTCAATTTTGCTCATATTCTTCCTGCACCCTTATTGTACTTATGGGAGGGGAAAGTTGATTGGGGGATTTTGGTTTTGAGGGATGGGTAGAATACTTATTTTTGTTCTCCAAAAACAATTTTCTTATAAAATTAAAATAGAAAATGAAGTTGTATGTTCTCCACACCCTCAGCCAGCTCCCTGACACCTCAGTCAGCCACCCCCAAAAGACAAAAAAGAGAACAAATATGTCTCTTATTTAAGGCACTCTGTAAACCCTGTCACTTGAAGTTGGAGCAGTGTAATTGATGTAGATGAGATGTATAGCAGAAGCACTGTGGAGGTTAAAATCCAAGGTATGATATCTTATTAGAGGAATGAAGACAACAGAAGAGGTAAAGTTATAAACAGAGGTTGAGGATCTCATAATTTGTTTTATTTTTTTTAAAAAAAAAGCTTTTTTTTTATTTGGTTTTCATTCAGTGTTCATTAATGTCATCCAGGCTTTAGATTCTTCTTACTCTTCCTCTTAGACTCCAGGGGAGTGTCCTTGGGCTCAGCAGCTCATGCCTGCAAGATGACTACATCTATCACAGAGTCCTGTCCAAAGAAAAATCCAAAAAGACTTCTTTTGAGTCTTCATTTTCAGGATAGAAAATCTCTGTTCTACTACTACCAAATTTTCTTCCTAAAACACTGATTTAATTAGATCATGAAGCTGCTTAAAAACTGTCGATGTCTTCCCTTTGAATACTCAATGAAGTCTGTACCACTCCACACACCTCTTTGTCAATCCTAGACAACTTTGCACAGTGCATGCAAAATGGTAGTCATCTTTGGAGGTAGACTGGATCTTTGTTCTTTTAGTCATGAAATATTTATGAAAATACATTTGAGAGTTTATATTGAGTTCTTAGGCTCTAAAAATAGGCTCAAATTCCTGCAAATGACATGTTATTAAGAAACACCAAGCAGTTTTTATTGAGTAAATATTTGTTTTTCATTTCTTATAGACCAGGCACTGTACTTGGAATATAGCATTAAACAAAACAGACATAGAGCCTGTTGTCTAGAAGGGAAGACTTATTAAAATGAACAATTGTAATTGTGTGATATTCTTGAGAAAGTGCATGATGACGAAAGAGTTAATAAACAGGAGGACCAGCCTACTCTGAAGGTGAGCTGCCCCCAAGAAGAGGTATTTTAAATAAGAGCTATATGAGTCTGAACTAGGTGCAGAAAGTAAATGAAGAACCAGATACATGCAGAATGGATTTGGGAGACTAGTAATATATTGTTTGGATATCAGGTTGGAAGAAACTGCAGTGATCCAAACAGGAAGAGGTGGTGCTTGGACCAGAGTAGAAGCAGTGGGGATTGAAAATGCAGAACATGGCAATGGATTATATGTGGGAAATTAAAGGTAGGGCTTGAGCAGATAGATGAGACAGCTGTTTCCCAAGAAAAGAATCACTCTTGGTTAGAGAAAGAGGAACCAGTAAAAGCTTAAAAGTTCATATCAGCAACTACGCAGTTGATCACTTGAGAACTCAAAAGCTGTTTAGGATATTGCCATTGCACCAAGAATACAGAACCATGCTCGTGA